TGATTCCAGAACCAGTGTACAGAGCGTATGATTCCAGAACCAGTGTACAGAGCGTATGATTCCAGAACCAGTGTACAGAGCGTATGATTCCAGAACCAGTGTACAGAGCGTATGATTCCAGAACCAGTGTACAGAGCGTATGATTCCAGAACCAGTGTACAGAGCATCTGATTCCAGAACCAATGTACAGAGTGTCTAATGCTAGAACCAGTGTACAGTGTCTGATTCCAGAACCAATGTACAGAGTGTCTTATTCCAGAACCAATGTACAGAGTGTCTTATTCCAGAACCAGTACAGTGTGTCTAATTCCAGAACCAGTGAACAGAGTGTCTTATTCCAGAACCAATGTACAAAGTGTCTTATTCCAGAACCAGTACAGTGTGTCTAATTCCAGAACCAGTGTACAGTGTCTGATTCCAGAACCAATGTAGAGTGTCTTATTCCAGAACCAGTACAGTGTGTCTAATTCCAGAACCAGTGAACAGAGTGTCTGATTCCAGAACCTGGGTACAGCGTCTGATTCCAGAACCTATGTACAGAGCTGATTCTAGAGCCAGAGTATAGAGCATCTGATTCCAGAACCAGTGTACAGAGCATCTGATTCCAGAACCAATGTACAGAGCATCTGATTCTAGAGCCAGAGTACAAAGCGTCTGGTTCTAGAACCAGAGGACAGTGCATTTGATTGAAGAACCAGCGTACAGAGCATTAGATTGGAGAACCATACAAATAGAGCGTCTGACTTAAAAATCTGAGTACAAAGCATATGATTGAAAAACTGTCGAATGGAGTGTCTTATTCCAGAACCAGAATACAATGCGTCTGATTCTATAACCACTAAACAGAGCATCTGGCTCATGAAGTCCAGAGTGCCTGGTTCCAGAACCAGCGTACAGAGTGTCAGATAGGAGAACTGTTGAACAGACATGTATAGTGCCTGATATGAGAACCGTGGAATAGAGCAGTGGCTCCCAAAGTGGGTGCCGCGACACATTGGGGTGCCGGGACAACTGGCTAGGGGTGCCGCAGAATCTTAGCTTTTTTCCCCATTTAAATAACCTAAAATACTATTGTACCATATAACCTTTTACAGCATATATTTTAAAAATAGGCTATATCAAAACACTAACATATGAGTATGTTCAAACTAAAAAAAAATAGTGAAAAATAAAACGGAAAAAAACACTGATATATTTCATACTTATTTAAAGTTGAAATATGTATTTACCGCCAATTGGACTGTTCTCAGGAGAGAATCGCCCCGTCCGCTCCGCCCTTTGTAATGGTGCGCGCTCAATTTTATATTTCACGCAGTGATTGACAAGACACGAAATTCGTGTTGCTGCTAATAGAAGGTGTTGACCGTTTTACGGGTGTGAAGCCACAACACCGGTTATGTCACTTGCCCACCGTCGTTTTGAGTTTTTATAGTAATAAAAATTCTTTAGTTTACTAAAATTAAAACTGAACGCGGCTGCTGAATGACAGTCGCATCACAGATCAGATTTCATTTATCATGTGAGGAGAAGCTGACAAAGAAGAGTGAAGTGAGACAGACAAGACGATGGCAGAAGAGTTTCAAAACGACTTGCAAAAGCGCCCGTTTAAAAAAAATATTTTGGATATTGAAAAGCCTGTTGACTTCTGCCATTTATCTAAGGTGATATTTGAAGTTTTTTTAAACATTTGTTTCTTATTTATTTGGTTCCACAGTGTTTGCTGATTTAAATGTATTTAAACTGTATATATATATTTTCATATATATATATATATGAAAAGTAAAAAATTATATATATCAAGTATGCCGTGTCTCCAATCTTTCTTATTCGTTTTGCTAATAAACGTAGCGTTTCTTATTTATTTGGTTCCACAGTGTTTACTGATCTTCAGTTTTGAATAAGCTACCTAAACTTTGTGTAAGTTATTTGTTATTTTATATTAAGCATAATATGTTCTACGTTGTATTTTGTTGTTGCTTGAATTGAATTGCCGAATTGCTGCTAATTTGAAAGTGAAAGTAAAATGTGCACGGCGCATTTAAGCTATTTAAAAGCGAAGGAAAGTAAGGAAAAGAGGGAAAACTCAAACAAACTAAAAACAAACAACTGCCTGATGTGGAATTGGCGCTAATTTGAAAATGAAAGTAAAATGCGCAGGGCGCTTTTACAAGCTATTTAAAATAGAAGGAAAGCGAGGAAAAGAGGCAAAACTACCCCCCTCTCTTCCTCACTGTCACAACCCTAAATTTTACCCATCTATCTCAGAATGCGCCGTCAATGTGCTGTTGCCGTTTTTTTAAGTTATAAGGTTTGAACAAATCAAATGAGAAACTAAAGAAAAAATTTAATTTGAGTTGTTTATTATTATTTAAAGAGTTAAGTATCAATCTTTAAATGCGTTTTGTTCCAATGATTCCCACATACAGTAAATGGTTCAAATCAGTCTGTTGACGTGTGTCATCCAGTTGTAAAAGACAGATGTTATTTGTTATTTTATATTAAGCATAATATGTTCTACGTTGTATTTTGTTGTTGCTTGAATTGAATTGCCGAATTGCTGCTAATTTGAAAGTGAAAGTAAAATGTGCACGGCGCATTTAAGCTATTTAAAAGCGAAGGAAAGTAAGGAAAAGAGGGAAAACTCAAACAAACTAAAAACAAACAACTGCCTGATGTGGAATTGGCGCTAATTTGAAAATGAAAGTAAAATGCGCAGGGCGCTTTTACAAGCTATTTAAAACATAAGGAAAGCAAGGAAAAGAGGGAAAACTACCCCCCCTCTTTTCCTCACCGTCACAACCCTAAATTATAGCTTACCCATCTATCTCAGAATGTGCCGTCAATGTGCTGTTGCCGTTTTATAAGTTATAAGGTCAGGTTTGAACAAATCAAATGAGAAACTAAAGAAAAAATGTTATTTGAGTTATTTATTATTATTTAAAGAATTAAGTATCAATCTTTAAATGTGTTTTGTTCCAATGATTCCCACATACAGTAAATGGTTCAAATCAGTCTGTTGACGTGTGTCATCCAGTTGTAAAAGACAGATATTATCTGATTATCAGATATTATGTCTGTTGTGATGCATTCATAATAAATTCATGCAGCGGTTTATGCTTCATTTGTTGTTTGCTCATCTGGATTTAATTTCATATGTATGTACACATGTGCGTTTAGTTTAATTGGGTTGGGATGCCCTGGAAAAAAAAACACTACAAAGGGGTGCCATGCTTTCAAAAAGTTTGGGAACCACTGGAATAGAGCATGTGATTCTAGAGCAGGCATGTGGCGTCTCTCACCCCAGGCAGGTGTACTGCTGCACCATGGTCTTATTCTTGACTGTCAGTTTGAGATCTAGAACAGCCGTCGCAACGCTGCCCACAGGAACGATCCGCACACAGATGCGCTTCTTCTTCCCGACAGACGCCTCTGTACAAACACACGCACAGTGATTACACTTCCACAGCGCATCAGGAGAGACAGACAAGCAGATCTGTGGAGGCTCTAAAGGCCCACATCTCTCAATGAACCATCTTACTGGGCTCCAGGAACTCTGGGATGTAGCAGTAACCGTGAGGAATCGTCTCTTTATCCGTAATCACCTGCACATCTGCCACAACCATCCCACCGGACAGATCCTACAGACAGGAATGAGTCTGATGAGCACGAGAGTATATGGAGACATCACATGTGTGGTGAGATGGAAGTTAAAACAACAGTATGTCAGTGTTTATGTGAGTCATTCGTGCTTTTGTGTTTCACTGAAGAAAGAATGTCATACAGGTTTGGAACCCTTTAATGCATCTTACCTTACTGTAACTCAGGTAGTATCCTGACTTGATTGCAAACCCTCGGATGAAGTTAGCGGAGGCTCCATCTTCAGTCTGAGTGATCTAAACACACACACACACACACACAGAGTTATTGACATGGTCTGAACTCCAGAGGCAGGTGAGCATGTGACCGCAGGTGTGTGTGGTTGTATTGTTCACCAGGATGAATTGACCGGGGCAGCTGGAGGCGTTTGATGCCCAGGCCACTGCAGTGATGGGCCTGCTGAAGGCGCTATACGACTCGAACACAGACATCTACAGACAGACAGATCACGAGGATCAGTACTGATGACACACTGCTCACTGTCACAGGAACATCAGCACATATAACATGATTAGACAGACATGCACAGACTGATATACACAGTTAGATGTGACCCTGGAGCACAAAACCAGTCATAGGTAGCACAGGTATATTTACAGCAATAGCCAACAATACATTTTATGGGGCAAAAATCATTAGGATATTAAGTAAAGATCATGTTCCTTGAAGATATTTTGTACATTTTCTACCGTAAATATATAAAAACTTAATGTTTGATTAGTAATATGCATTGCTAAGAACTTCATTTGAACAACTTTAAAGATGATTTTCTCAATATTTCGATTTTTTTGCTCCCTCAGATTCCAGATTTTCAAATAGTTGTATCTCAGCCAAATACTGTCCTATCCTAACAAACCATACATCAATGGAAAGCTTATTTATTCAACTTTCAGATGATGCATAAATCTCAATTTCGAGAAAAATGACACTTATGACTGGTTTTGTGGTCCAGGGTCACATTAGATAGATAGATAGATAGATGGATAGTTCTATCTCTCAGTTAATCACACTGTTAATAGTCATTAAATGATGTGTTTATCAGCTGTTATCATCTCGACGCAGCAGTTATTAGTTTCAAACACACGCTGTAATCAGCATTAACATCAGCATTTACACTTCAACTGATTATAAACAGCTTTAATGAACGCGTGAGGCTGAATTCAGTACTTACAGGCTGTTGTTATGAATTTTTTTCTCGTTTCCAAACACGAAACTGACCTGAACTCACTGCCGCAGTCAGAGAACAGGAAGCAGCGGTAGACTACAACTCCCGTCATGCACCGCGGCGACGTCACAGCGGACCGCGCATGCTCAGTGCGATTTACTGTTCAAAACCAGGAGCCGGTTGCATAAAAGGTTTAGACTAGTCGTATAAGTTAGTCATCTAATTTTTTTTCTTTAAGAGTGGTCATAATTTTTACAATTCAGTTACATAGAAACGTTTGGTCTAAGTTGAATCCAACTGTCTTACCATAGAGGCTAAGTTAATGCAACTGGCCCCAAAGAAGACAATTCAGGCATTAAAATAAGCTGAAACAAGTAAAAATCAAGATGTTTTTTATTTTAATTCAACCTCAATGCAACTTTTTTTTCTTTTAAGATGATAAAAGTGTGATATCTAGACTCGGGAAAGTCATGTAAATTAATAAAATCCGTTAAATTCATGGGTATTTTAACATGTTTTATGAATCATGCCAAGTAATAAAATATTTTATCTTAATTGTGAATTATTTTTTTTTATAGTTCTCAAAAAAAGATAAGTAAATATTGTTGTGGACAACAAATAAGGTTGAAAACTGATCTAAATGAATAATGTGCATAAAAAAGCAGGACTGGACGGAGAGTTTCTCTCATCACTGCGGCCTATAAACACAACAAGCAATTACAACATAATAATAAAAAAATAATAGAAAATAGAAAATAGAAAATTAACATCTAATTCAAAATATTACAAAAAACTACAAAAGTACCTCAATCATAACAAAATAACACTGAACAGCAAACAAATGTATAAATGAAAGGTAAAATGAATTATAATTAATATAATAATGAGATGATATTTAATATTTCTTAATCTGCTGGTTTCATATTGCTGTATTTTTGCTTTACATTTTGCCTATTTATTAAAATATATTTAGGCAAAATGATAATAATAATTCCCAAAGTTTCTGTACAAATACTATACACAAAACAGCTGACACATTTATTTATTTATTTTTGTGATATTTTATGTACATATAGAAGTGCAGTTCACTACAGTTGCTTGTTTTTCACAAATGATCTCTCAGAAACTGAAGATGCAAATGTGACCCTGGAGCACGAAACCAGTCATAAGGGTCAATTTTAGGAAAATACATAATCTGAAAGCTGAATAAATAATCTTTCCGTTGATGTATAGGACAATATTTGGCCGAGATGCAACTATTTGAAAATCTGGAATCTGAGGGTGCAAAAAAATCTAAATATTGAGAAAATCATCTTTAAAGTTGTTCAAATGAAGTTCTTAGCAATGCATATTACTAATCAAACATTAAGTTTTGATATATTTACGGTAGGAAATTTACTAAATATCTTCATGGAACATGATCTTTACTTAATATCCTAATGATTTTTGGCATAAAAGAAAAATTGATAATTTTGATTGTCTGTCGCTACAAATATATCCGTGCTACTCATGACTGGTTTTGTGAAATATATGCATATTTCCATATTTTGAGTTCTTTCTTTCTAGCAAATAAGAGGCAAGGGGAGTAGAAGTTGGCATGCGTGGCTCATGCAGGTTCAGGGTGTTTGGGGAACACGTCTCTGGAGTCAGTCGGTGCTGTTTGCGTGGCGTGTCCGGATGAAGTGCAGCAGCGTGATGTCGTACAGCACCTGGTGTCCGTTGTTCCAGGTGTACAGCGCTCTGATGCGCGGGTTGTAGTCCAGCATGGAGATGTGTGAGTACTGGTTGTGGAAGGCGATGTCGGTGTACTCGTACGAGGCCGAGGCCGTGTGGAAGGTGAAGTGCACTTTAGCTCCGGCCAGGTGTGAGTTGGTGACGTAGAGCGAGCCGCAGATGAGGAAGGCCTCGCCGGCGCTGCGCTTGGAGAAGCCCGTGTCCCAGGAGTGCAGCACCTCCAGCGTGTCGGGATGCAGGCGGCTCAGCAGCATGTTCCCGCCGCGGCCGATGCTGGAGTACACGGCCCACAGCCCCGTCTCGTCGGCCATGAGGTCGATGTCGGACGAGCCGCCCCAGGAGTACGGGAAGGTGTTGTTGAACCCGGCCTGAGCGAGCGGACGCTGCTGCAGAACGCCACCCGACGCCAGATCGTAGCGCACCAGCACGTTACTGTGGTGTTTGTTATAGTACAGAGAGCTGTTATACACCACGTGACCCGTACCTGAGAGACACAAGCACACACACACACACACACACACACACACACACGTCACAAAGCACGGAAAATCACTTCTGACAGGTGTAAAGATATAAAAAACATACGTGCAACATTTTATCTCGCAATTCTGATTTTCCCCCCTGAATTCTGAGTTTCAGCCTCACTGACTTTTTTTTCCGTAATTCTGAGCTTACATGATGTAGTTGTAATATTATGCATAATTCTGATTTCATGCTGCAATTCTGATTTTTTTTCTCATAATTCTGAGTTTATATCTCAGAATTCTGACTTTTTCGTACTTCTGAGTTTTTCAATTTTTTATTTAAATCTCGCAATTCTAACTTTTTTCGTTAATTGGAGTCTATACCTTTGATTTTTTTCTTTTTTCGGAATTTTGGGTTTACATCATGCAGTTGTAATATTTTTCGTAATTCTGAGTTTACATCTCACAATTCTGACTTTATTCTTGTAATTCTGAGTTTACGTAACAATTCTGACTTTTTCTTGTAGTTCTGAGTTGAAATCTCGCAATTCTGACTTTATTCTTGTAATTCTGAGTTGACATCTCGCAATTCTGACTTTTTTCTTGTAATTCTGAGTTTACGTAACACAATTCTGACTTTTTCTTGTAGTTCTGGGTTTACATCTCAGAATTCTGACTTTATTCTTGTAATACTGAGTTTACGTTACACAATTCTAACTTTTTCTTGTAGTTCTGAGTTTAAATTTTGCAATTCTGACTTTATTCTTGTAATTCTGAGTTTACATCTCGCAATTCTGACTTTTTTCTTGCAATTCTGAGTTTACGTAACACAATTCTGACTTTTTCTTGGAGTTCTGAGTTTACATCTCAGAATTCTGACTTTATTCTTGTAATTCTGAATTTACATATCACAATTCTGACTTTCCATAATTCTGAGTTTACATCTCAGAATTCTGACTTTATTCTTGTAATACTGAGTTTACGTTACACAATTCTAACTTTTTCTTGTAGTTCTGAGTTTAAATTTTGCAATTCTGACTTTATTCTTGTAATTCTGAGTTTACATATCACAATTCTGACTTTTCATAATTCTGAGTTTAAATCTCGCAATTCTGACTTTATTCTTGTAATTCTGAGTTTACGTAACAATTCTGACTTTTTCTTGTAGTTCTGAGTTGAAATCTCGCAATTCTGACTTTATTCTTGTAATTCTGAGTTTACGTAACAATTCTGACTTTTTCTTGTAGTTCTGAGTTGAAATCTCGCAATTCTGACTTTATTCTTGTAATTCTGAGTTGACATCTCGCAATTCTGACTTTTTTCTTGTAATTCTGAGTTTACGTAACACAATTCTGACTTTTTCTTGTAGTTCTGGGTTTACATCTCAGAATTCTGACTTTATTCTTGTAATACTGAGTTTACGTTACACAATTCTAACTTTTTCTTGTAGTTCTGAGTTTAAATTTTGCAATTCTGACTTTATTCTTGTAATTCTGAGTTTACATCTCGCAATTCTGACTTTTTTCTTGCAATTCTGAGTTTACGTAACACAATTCTGACTTTTTCTTGGAGTTCTGAGTTTACATCTCAGAATTCTGACTTTATTCTTGTAATTCTGAATTTACATATCACAATTCTGACTTTCCATAATTCTGAGTTTACATCTCAGAATTCTGACTTTATTCTTGTAATACTGAGTTTACGTTACACAATTCGGACTTTTTCTTGTAGTTCTGAGTTTAAATCTTGCAATTCTGACTTTATTCTTGTAATTCTGAGTTTACATCTCGCAATTCTGACTTTTTTCTTGTAATTCTGAGTTTACGTAACACAATTCTGACTTTTTCTTGGAGTTCTGAGTTTACATCTCAGAATTCTGACTTTATTCTTGTAATTCTGAGTTTACATATCACAATTCTGACTTTTCATAATTCTGAGTTTAAATCTCGCAATTCTGACTTTATTCTTGTAATTCTGAGTTTACGTAACACAATTCTGACTTTTTCTTGTAGTTCTGAGTGTAAATCTCGCAATTCTGACCTTATTCTTGTAATTCTGAGTTTACATCTCACAATTCTGACTTTTTATTCATAATTCTTGTAATTCAGTTTTTTTGTATTTCTGAGTTTACGTGTTGTAGTTTACATGAAAAAAAGTTCAGAATTATGATAAGTCACATTGACCTTTTTAATATTTTTTTTTTCGTAGCGGAAACAAAGTCCCATAAGAAGCAGACAGGAGTTCTTTGGGTTTGAAATGGTGAATCAGTAGTTGTAGTGTTGGAGATGAAGACAGTCAGTGTTTGTTGTTAGTGGATCACGTGATTCTCTGAGTGAACATCACTGAAGGTGTTTGATAGAGTCGCATTTACACCTGCCCACGGGTGAGGAAGATGATGGACGATGAAGTTCTGTCCAGTTGCAAAGTCACCGAGAGACTGATACTCCACCAGACGCCTGCCTTTAAAATAACCATCCATCACCCACACCTACGCACACGCACACGCACACACACACACACACACACACACACACACACACACACATCAGGATTATTATCATTAACTAAAACTAATACGATTAAACTAAAATGAATTCTTGTTGCTTGAAATAAATTTTAACTGAAATAAAAATTATGAACCAAGTTAGCAAGGCAACATTTCTCATTATAATTTAGTTTATGTACTTAAACAACTAAAACAAATAAACTAAAACTTAAAAACTATATATAGACATATTTTTAAAAAGAATAATATGCCACTATAATTTATGTTTATTATATACTTATATTTTTCATTGCTGTTCTTTTTTAAATTCTAAATTCAAAGGATTTGTTGTGGAGTGGCAAGAACTAAAATACATGTTTATAATGTTCATAATTGTTTTGTTTACCGATATTTTACATTATGTCTGAATGTAATAAA